TTTCTTGATTCCCAAAATTAAATAAATTATTAAAATTTAAAATATTATTATTGTTATTCTCAGGATTATTTTTGGCAGGTTGGATCTCTGGAAAGGCTTCGTCTTGGAGATGAATGGATTCGATTTCTTCTTGGGTTTGCAGAAGATCAACGGTTCTCTGGAAAAGGTTTTCAGGTAAGTTTTGAGTTTCTGGTTAGGTTGGTCTGAGATTTCCAAAATAATTAGCTAAAGTAGCAAGTACACTTGCTGCTTCTTCCTCTAGATTCGCTGGTTTGTAAGTAGGTTCAGGATTTATTACTTGGGTCTCTTCCAGGACGGCATCTTCGTCGTTGTCACTAAGAGGTATAATAAATTGCTGGGTTCAGTAGGTTATGATGAAGTTCTACTGCTTTCAGCAAAAGTTTCTCCTTGTGGGTAGGTTACTTGTGGAAGGTTTCGGACGGGGGTTTGAGTAGTAGAAAAATAAGTTAGGGTTGAAGGTCCTTCGTACGGTTACTGCAGCTGCTGCGGCTCACGGCGATGTGGTAATTGGGGTTGAGTTTTGGGGGTTTCCTCACTATAATTTTCTTCAGGAAAAATATGTGTAGGGTTATGCTCTTTTTCCTCGTTATAATTAAAAGCCTGGGGGGTTTCTTGAGTAGATGTAAATTCAAATGGGGTTGAGATTTCTAATGGGGTAATTGTGATGATGTAGCTAATCTCGATTGAACTTCTTGTAATCGTCTCTGGACAAGTTCTTGAACGACCTGAACACGAACTTGGTTTAATTCTTCCTCTAAAAGTTGGGTTAAGTCGAGGAAATGGCAATAAGACTCAAAATCTTGGAGATTAGGATCTCCTTCAGATGAAGCTACTTGTAGGTAATGTTCGTACTGGCTTCTATATAAGTGTAATTTAGCTTCAGCAAAAAGTTGGTCAGACTCAGAGTTTTCAGAGGTTGTATCTTCGTCTGAGGTAGGTTGGTTGTCTTCTGGGTTATTGTTATTATTATTATCACCAAAGTTAAAGAATCTAAACATAAGCTAGTAATATATCATTTTGCGAATTACTGCGCACAAAGAAAATATTATCGTGTGACAGAACGGCAAAATTAATATATTATAGGTTGGGTTTTATTCAGCTGGTTCTGAATAACAAAAGTTTACTTAGCTACAACTAAGCAAAAACAAAAGGGTTGGGTTTATTCAAGCAGAGGGTTAACAAAGGGTTGGGTTGAAAAAACGTCCGCTGCTACCAAATGTAACGAATCTACTAATTCGTTTTAGAAAATAAATATCAACAAATATTTATTAGCGAAGTTTGTGGTTTATAATTAAATTATTTTACAAGACTTGCTTGTTCTTTATTAATCATATGTTATATTTATATAAAAATACATAATTAATATTACATAATATAAATATATAATAAATAGTATTTTAGGTCTTACAAGACCAATCTGGATGGTTATATATGATAATAATATAATAAGTAAAATATTAATAAAAAGAAATAAAATAGAATAAGATAAATGATTAACACATAGGATGGCAAATATATTGTATATCAAATTAATCACATATGTTATCATTCGTTATCAAAATACAAAGATAAAAATATAAATAATAAAATAGAAAATAAAATAAAATAAGTATAATAAAATAGAAAATGAAATAAAGTAAATATAATTACGTAGAGGATGTGACAACGAAACTATTACACCAGCTGAATCATCCTCCCTAATTTTTACTAGTACTTTAGTCTTGCCATCACTATGTCTAATTATATAATCAAATGATATAACTTTGTGTTCTTGAATTGTTGTCGTTTTCAATCCTTGACTTTTTTCAATGAGTGTAGAAAGAGTTTCTGTATCTGCTGTACATGTAAAAGGAATATCTAACGTTCACTCATATCTTTTAAATTTATAGATATTCTTACCTTCTTCTGGCATTACAGTTCTTTGTATTGGAGTATTAATTCGTTTGCAATCTTCCATGTGTTGTGCATCAATCTTGGGATCGTGGGTTCAGTGACTTACACAATAGTCACAAACATATAACCTACTATTATGCTTAGTTGTATATCCAGCTAATTTTCCTAATCCATCTCTTCCTTGGATCAAGCAATAATGTTAGGCTAGTTCTCCTGTTTTTGGATCGTCACCAGTTATTAATAAAAGTCAAATTAATCTTCATAGTTGACAACCCCCTCTTCATGATTGCATCTATCATGTACTTTGAATTTAGGTGCAATTCTGATTGGGATAAGTTCTTTTTTGCTCCATCCATAAATTGATACAGATATATCGGGATTCTGTTTTTTGAACTTTTCCATTGTATCATTGTCAACTTTTACTGGAAATGAGATTCCGTCAAAATTTAACTCTCCTATATATTGATTATACCAATTTGAACATTCTCGATGATAAAGAGCTTGGTATAAATCAGCAAGGATACATCTTTCAAAGCATCGATCATCCTCATTTTTGATATTGATAATTCTATTGTTTCATTTTGATATTTCTTTAGGTAAAGGAAGGTGTGAACTGGCTGTTAAAGGGACATAAATTGGCATTTCAATATTTACTTCTCCTGATTCTTCATAATACCAGCTCGAGCCTTCACGAATATATACTTCTATTCGATTTTCAATGTCCCAAATAAGCTCATCTACAATTCCCGGGATATTTTCTTTAGTGGTTACTACTACTGCTTTATTTTTGAATGGAACTTCTTTATAATCTTTTTCATCATTATCATTTTCTGTAAATGTTCCATCTTCAAATAGTCCCTGCTGATAATTTGTTGATCGACTTATTTTTTCTGTGAGACATAATCGAGTTTGAACCCATGAGTAAGGTCAAATCGGTCATTGAAAATATTTATTATTTGCTCCCTAAGTACCCCAAGAATATTGATTGGGTCTTGTGCATATATGTTTTCTTTTCCTATTTCAACTTGATAATGATCGTTTAATAATTCACATCCTGAACTAATAATATCCGTTTGATGAAATTGCAAAATAGGTTCTAATATTCCTAATGTTTCGAGATATTCTCTTTCAGCTTCTGGTGATGGAGTGGACTCTGAGTGACTGCTTTCACCAATTTCTGAGGAATCAAATAATCCCAATGCATCAAGATATTCTATTTCTGGATCAAGTTGTGATAGTTAATTAGGAGACAGAACTGGTAAGTAGCATGGATTTTTATTACTAGCATAATGTTAATGAAGTTTTTGTGGTGTTGAAAGAGGGAGAGCACAGCAATCACACGTTATATTTTTTTTATCTTTTCTAGTCATAGTATATAATTGATTTATAATATATTACTTATATAAAATCTTTTGTTTAAATAATTATTTCACTATATCCTAAAAGGTATTACGTAGTCCACTACTATAGAAGATTACATGCTAGGGTTTCAAAATTAGATTCTAGCTATGAGAATAGACTTTGTCCCAACTTTTTTTGATATATATAACAGTATATGTGTTAATTATTTTGATATCAAAAAAAATTTATTATATGTTAATGCTTTATATAGATATTAAGTAATTAGATAAGTAATTTATTAGAAATATTCATCTGGACCTTCATCTGCTGTATAATATTCAGATTCTGAACTTTCTTCTATCTCAAGATTAAAAAGTTTACATAGAATTTTATTACTAGCATAATGCTGATGAAACTTTTGTGGTATTGAAAAAGTTTTACCACAACATTTACAAGTACGATTTTTTTTATCTTTTCTAGTCATTGTATTTATATTATATTAACTTTATTTCAATTTTTGTTAGACTTAAGATATATTTTTGAATAATAAAAAATTTTGTCCCAACTTTTTCAATATATGTATTAATTATTTCGATATATTTAGGTTGATCATTGTCCTAACTTTTTTTGATATTTTTTGATATTCTTTATGATAATAATAATTGATTTGGGTGTTAAGAGAGATAGTAAAAATTAGATATTATAAAAGAAATGCAAAATAACTAAAAATCTTTTATTAGAGGTTAGACTTATTTATATTGATAAAAATTTTGATGTCTTTTTTTATATAGCTATTTTATATTGATAACAATTTTGAAAGCTAATATGTTAACTATGCTCCGCTGCACTTCGCAACTGTTTCACATTCACCTTTTGGAATTCATACTTCACAGTAACAGAAGACTAAATAAAGTTTAGAAAAGAATTAGAATAGTAAAGAAAATAATATTAAATTTAGGCTTGTTGATACGTGTCACACTCAGCTTCAGGACATTTGTCCTTTAGCTTCCTGCTCCTTTTTTTATAACAAGCAGAGTAGTAATATGAAGATGTGGCCAAAAAAAAAAATCACACGTCATTCAAGTGTAGCTCAAAAAAAATTAAGCAAAATGATATAAAAATTAGTATAAGAAAAAAGCTTGCTGTGTGGTAAAAAAAGTAAAATGCTATACATATTGAGGTTAGGGTCTCTGTTCCAACTTTCTCAGAAACATACTACTGCATATGTAATTTTTAAATAAATGACAGTTTGCTGTTCATTAATTTATTGACAATAAAATTCACACATATTTACATTTGTCTGCTTCTGGCTAAAGCAAGAGTTATTGGGAATAACTCTATACACACACTGCACCTACAAACACTAATTAAAAATTTTATAAATATTACACCTATCAGGTACCAGATAGGTAACAGATAAGTGTATTGGTTTTGCTGAATATTGGATACTAATATTTCATATTGGATACCTAATTTCTGTAGGATATCTGTAGGATATCTCACTAATATACCTATCTGTAAGATATTCTACAGATATCAGGTATCTGATATTCAGAAAACCAACACACTTATCTATTATCTATCTGGTCTCTGATAGGTGTAGTATTTATAAATTTTTGACTAGTGAAAATAAGAGTTTATTAATGAACTCTTACAATTATAGTGATGATGATAATGATTAAATAAAAGTTATAAGAATATAATATTGGTGATTATATTAATATTTTTTCAAATAATGTTATTATAATAGAATATTTTATTTAATTTTCTGTATTTATCCTTTATATCTATTCATAATTAATAATAATGAGATCAAATCAGCAGTCAAATGAAATACAAGATAATAAATACAGTATGTACAGTGGGGCATCAAAAGTTATCAGACAAAAAAAAATTACTAAATTTAAAATTCTAATTGTAACATAATGGGTAATCTAAATTGTACAAACGTTTTTTATTAAATTCAGCAAAACAAGGGCTATCATATGATATATTTTGTATTGAAATTAAATGCCTCACATAGAGTAATTACACTTCAAATAAAATGAACAAAAAATAAAAAATTTAATCTTTGAACACTACCATACCACACTCAATGAATATTAAAGATAAATATCAACTATCTTATATGAAAGTGTAGCAAGAAATAATATTTACAATTTTAATTGGAAGCATTTTTTATAGTATCTAGTAAAAATTCAAACTTAACTTAGGCGTGAATAAAAATGGCTGAGATTTATTAAAAATCTTAAAAAAATAAAAAAAATCTGAATATATTTATCAATGTTTCTACATAAAAAAGTTTTTCATTTATTAATATAGTAATAAAATCTGATAGTTAAAAAAATTAATATAGTAATAAAAGTGATATTGAGTAACATTAAAGCTAAGAATATAGAGCATCTCATGTAAAGTATTAAGACATATTTAATTAAAATTAAGCAAATAATTAGTCAAAGAATAATTTTTAGACATATAATGTTTAGCTGCTTATATTAAATTTAATTTGTAAGAAAAAATTATAAAAACTTTATAAAAGATGCTTCATATTCTTAACTATAAGATTAGTTAGTAAAATATTTGTTATTTTATTAGTAAATAATGAATGTTTACATGTAGCAACTTTTGATAATCATTTTTGGATTTTTAAAAAAATATCAAAGATAAAATGATTGACATTGATATTTTTTAAAAAATCCAAAAATAATTATAAAAGTTGTCACATATATAAGTATATAATTTAGTAATAAAATAAAAAATATGATACTAATTAATCTTATAGCCAATATTATGCACCATCTTTTGTAAAGTTTTTAGACTTTATACTTATGAAAAATTAATATCAACAGCTAAATATAAAACATTCAAAAATTATAAATTACTTATTATTCACTTACTCTTTATTAAAAAAATCTAAATACTTTACACGAGATGCAATATACTCTTAGTTTTAATGCTACTTAGTATTAGTTTTATCAGTAATTTGCAAATAAAAAACTTTTTATATAACAAAGTTTTAATAATTATTTTATGGAGTTTTTAATTCAATTGATATATTAATTTATTTATTAGTATTTTGGGGGATAGCCTTTATTTTCAATAACAGCAGATACATGATTTGACATACTATTAACAAGATTATTATATTTATCCTTTTCAAGTTGAACCATTCTTCCTGCAAAATTTTTCATAAATCATCCTTATTTTTAAATAATGGTTTATGTGACCTGACTTTTCTATCTATCTCATTCCATAAATTTTCTATAGGATTTAAATCTAGACTTTGTGCAGGACATGGAAGACTTTTAATGTTATTATTTTCCTTCCATTTTTGTGCTATTTTTGCAGTATAGATTGGAGCATTGTCTTCTTGAAAAATATAACTATTACTATTTTCTAAACTATTAATAAATGGATCTCACATATATAACAGTTCAAAATGTATATTATGTGGAAGGTATGAGGAAACAGATATACATATGTTTGAGTGCAAAAGAAATAATAATGAAGAGAGTAAATACACACCAAGGACAAATCATTATAAACAATTAATTAATTACCTAACTATAAAAAATTCAAAAACAAACAGATGAAATAGAGAAAGACAAAATACAAAGTGACTTAGGTTCCTAAGTGAGTTATGGAAGTTTTGAGGAAATACAGATGAAATGAGCTCACTTAGGATCACATTACACAAATCAATCAAGGGATTTATATCACAATAATTAGTATTCAAAGTTACATCAATGTTGAAATCTAGAAAAAAGACCGGGAAAGCAATTATTGAAAGAATGGTTACCGCAAAGAGTACTTAAAAGACTACTGGAAGTAACAGTGTGAAAAAGTGACACTATGGGAAGCTAAAAATAATATTACAAATAGATTGAAAAAGAAAAAAAAGGAAAACTAATTTAAAAAAGGTGAGGAAAATAAGAGAATATAATGACAGTATAAAGTAAGTAGATCTAATGAAGGGAAATGTAGTAAAATCGAACAAATAGAACATTTCTGTAGGCTGAGATAACATCATATACTGTACTTTTTAGATAATTTAGCATCTCAGTAATTTTTTTTCAACAATATTACATTTCCAAGTACCATTATTTCACTATGTTGAAATTCAGTAAGTTCTTTATGTTGAGAAGTCATTTTTATAAAATTATTTTTTAAAAAATAAAAATGGGTGATATAATTTAACTAGTTAATTTAAATAAAATTAATAAATTATTAAAAAAATAAAATAATTATAAGTTTTATTAACTTAATATAATTTTATTATTATGGAAAATAATTTTTTATGATGCATTATAATATTCTGTATAAAGTTATGACATCAAAATTGGACTTCTCTATGCAAAGTTAATGTTTATTATTAGGTATTTATCAATAAATAAAATCTATAATAATTTTTCACATCATATAAGGAGATCTTAATAACCTGTGATCTAGTTTTTTTGATCTGTTTATTGAATTTTCCTTATTTGTGTAAAAATTTTGGTAGTTGTTTCATCAAAATTGAACCACTCAACACAAAGTTAATGTTTATCATTTGGTATTTATCAGTAGATAAAATTCTATTCTAATATTTCATATTTTTCGTTGATATTTCACTAACCTGTGATCCAATTTTTGCGAAATATAGCTCATTAGATTTCCCTCATTGAGGTGAACATTTTGGTAGTTGTTTCATCAAAAACAGACTTTTTAAAAAAAGTTATTAATCAAAAAATTAAAGAATTTTTTATAATAATTACAATTCAAGTATAATATCACAATCTGCAAATCATGATTACAGGTGCCATCTCTATAAATAATAAAATAAAATATATTTTGTAAATTTCAAAGATTTAATATATTTTTTTAAAAAATAAATAAATAAATCAAATAAAATATATTTTGTAAACAAATACATTTTTATTAACATTGATATTAAAATATCAATACAAATATTGAATAACATTCATAAACTAATATTTATTAGCAAATTGCTTAATATTTTTTTTCCAACATATTTATTAACTCCTATGGAAATTAATTCTTTGTCTGTTAAATCTTTAATAGCATTTACAGTTATATCTTCTTCTAAAAATGAATTTTCTAATGACCTATAAATTCCATTACTATTATTTATATTATCTAATTCTGATAAAAATTTGTCAATAGTTGGACATTTGAAAGATGATTCAAAAAAGTTAGAAATTGATTTTTCAAATGGGAACAACAATTGATACCAGGAAATGAAAAAGGAAAAGGAAAAATCTATTGAGGTGTTGTAGTAGTGTGGCAATCCAAATTGGTAATCAGGTAAAATGTCATGGGGAATAATAATTTGTGTCACTAGATGAACATTCAGGTAATTGTTATTCCACATGAGATAACTGTACAAGGATGAAAGATGAAGTACGAAGATAACCATACAAGGATAAAGGATGACTGTACATGGATGAAGGATGAAGTATGAAGATAAGAAAGATGTAGTGTAAC